ACTAGTATAGATACTATACTAGTATAAAGTAGTGTTACATTACCTAATATATTATATATTTATAATTTACGACTAGTATTTTACTATTTACTAGTATGTTATATGTTTTACTATTTACTAATATGTTATATATTTATAATTTACTACCAGTATAGATATTATACTAGTATAAATTCGTATTACACTACCTAGTATAAATATATACTTATAATTTACTACTAGCATTTTACTATTTTACTACTAGTATTTTTATTATATATTTAGAATTTACTACTAGTATTTTACTATTCATACTTTATAATTTACTACTAGTATAGATATCATACTAGTATAAAGTAGTATTACACTACCTGGTATAAATATTTATAATTTACTACTAGCACTTTACTATTGTACCATTAGTATTTTTATTATATATTTAGAATTTACTACTAGTATAGATGTTATACTAGTATAAGCTAGTATACTGCCTAGTATAAATATTATAATTTATAATTTACTATTAGTATTTTACTATTTACTAGTAATATATTATATATTTATATAATTTACTACTAGTACTCTACTGATTATTAGTAATATATTTATAATTTACTACCAGTATAGATGTACTATACCATTCCATTCGAATTTCCTCCGATCTAATTTCTCGCGAAGAATTCCGCGATAAATTCAAGCATGTCTCGATGTCTATCCAAAAATAGTTTGCAAATTCGTGGCTCCATCGATCTTCGAAGGAGGGTGGAACATCAAAAAGCGAGCCGGCATCGTGATTTACTGAACGAAATTCTGCCAATTCTCCGAGGAGTCGACGTACCAAACCTGTCTAGGAAACCGTGAGGCACGATCGAGCATGACAGGCAAGTTTTCCTAGTGGCTAGGAAAATTTCAAGCGAGAGAGAGAGAGAGAGAGAGAGAGAGAGAAAGAAAGAAGGAGAGAGTTAGGGGCACCAGGGGCACCATAAATCCCTTTAAATTGCAGCAACGACCTTCGATCTCGCTGCAATTATTCCCTCGGACTTGGACGTTCCTTCATCCGGTCGAATGCTCACTCTAACACTACTCTCCTTAAATTTAATCGAATTTATTTGGCAATTGGCTCTTTATCGTTCGTAGAAGTTGCAACTTAAAAAAAAATTAAATTTTCCACTAAAATATGTAAAATATTCAAATATACACGGTTCCTGGTGTCCTCAATTATACTCGTCGAGTTCAACATCATGCAACTTTTGCTTCATTTTCAGCATTTTCCAACTACATTTACAAATACATTTATTCAGTTTTTCAAATACGAACAGATTGCAAGTAATAATCGTCAAATAAATGAATAAATTGAATGGAAAAAATGCATAAATATTCACCGACTAAATACCTGATCTAATTTTCCAAATATGAATAGCGCATTAAATATATCGAATAAATCGAATTGAAGAGGAGAAAAAAAAAAAAGAAAAAAATACACAAATATACAAATATCCGCCGATAAATTAACAAAAGCGATCGAAACAGTCAACTAACCATCTTCTATAGATAGAAAATGGTAAAGATAAATTCCGTGCATCGCGTTTGAAGCACGGTGGAGCACACGTGAGCGGACGATCAAGCGGAAAAGCGCGGCGATAAACCGGTCACGTAGAGCAGCGGGAACGTGTAACAGGGCGACATTTGTTTCAGCCGCGGAGAAATGGTTACGCGATCAAATTTGCATGAGTCGTCCTCGGGAGATTCCATCGGTGTCGCGTCGTTGGACGCCGGTTTCAATTTTTCGCTAATGCCTCCCGGTATTGTGAGCCGAGGTGGTGGGAACATGGCTCCCAACATTGAACGACACCCCGGAAAAATTCACATCCGCCAGTAGATTTTACTACTTTTTGTCTCTCTCGTGAACTAGCGATAAGGCTTGTTATGATCCTCCAAGCGAGAAATTTTTAATTTTCATTTACCGCGAGACGAGCATACGAGAGCAAAAATTGGCACAATTTTGCGAGGAAAAAACAATTATATAATTATCTACTCGTTTTGAAGCGTAAAGATTGTACTGTAACGTTGCACTTTTTTTTTTAAAGATGATTTTACATCGTGGTCTCTTTCTTCGAGAGAGTTGTAAAAATTCGAAATTTCGAAATTGTCAAAAAATTCCCGTAAACTTCACTGTAAAAATTTATTTCATTTTATCTTTCAGTTTTATTGAACTTTGAACATTAGGATCAGATGACGAAATGCTAAAATTTCTTGAATCTCTTGCACCGCACCCTAACACTAATAATAAGAAAAGATGTTTCGAGACAAATTTTAAGAAATCGTTGCAAAGGAGAGACTTCAGTCTTCAGAATGACGACAGATCTAGTCTAAAGATGATTTTCACATGCGTTTGAATTTTTCCAGTTCTCAGGGGAAAGACAAAGTACATCCTCCTTGCACTTTTCCACTCGCCACGCGATGTAAAATCATTTTCGGGAGAAACAAAGTCACGATCGTCAAAGCGGAAGCTTCACGCTTTAAAACGAGACCAAGCGAATCGTTTGCCAAGCTGCAACAGTTTAAAATGTCAACAGTTTCCCTTTGCCATCGGCACAGTTATGCTCTTGACTGTGTGCAAAATTGCGAAGTACATTGATCCAAATAATTTTCAATAAAATTGGTCGCTGAAAGAGTTTCTTCTTGCTCTAGCGGCGAATAAAATTAGACTCGGTCCTAAAGGCCAGTTTGAGGCCGCAAGTGATGAAAGTCACCGCTTTCGGCGTGCGCGTTCTGACCATTACGGTTTGCTACTACTTTGCCCGGAGCATCGTCTCAGCTTCTCGTTTCTTTCTCTCCAACCGCCAGGCAATCTTCGCCAACGTGCTAAAATTAAGTCGACTCGAAAGCGTGTAATTCTAAAGCAACCAAAAATTTCCCAAGCTTAAGTATCCTTTCAATATCAGAGAGAATTTTAGTTCAAATATTCAAGCGACTCCCAAGACAAACGGCCTCGTGCGATTTCCAATCTATTCAAGGACACTTAACACCGAAATTTTCAAGTTTTCACCGCCACAAACACGTTTCACTCGCTTTCTGATCGATGTTAAATTCCTCCGGAATGTAGATTCAATTCGTTTCCCAAACGTCGCTGAAGTAAAACGAAGAACTCGACGAGGGAAATCGTTCGCGTTGAATTATCGCTCGGGTTAAGGAAAGTTCGTCCCGGCGTTTGTTCCGAATTAATCAAAGAACGGCGAACGATTTCCAAGGGGATTCGATCGGCGAAAGACAAATAACAACTAACCAGAAAAGAAAACGGTTCTCGGGGATGACTTAAAGAGGGAGTGGCAACGATTTATATCAATCCCCCGGTGGGATACAATAGGTTCGCAGGGAAGAAAGAGCCAGCCGAGACAAAAAGGAATTACGCACCGTGGGGCAGGGTGTCGCGGGACATTTAATTGAAACGAGAAACGGCAGGATTGGAGAGAAAGGAAAAAAAAGAGAAAAAAAAGAAAACCGACTGCGATGGGAGTGAAGGAAGAAAGGAAGGAAGGAAAGAAGGAAAATGAAAGAAGGACGAACAGGTTCCTCTTTTACTCTAGCTGCCAGTAGCCACTGCAACCTGTTGAATTCCAAGCCACGTGGTTAAACGTGGTTTCTTCGGGAAATATGTCCGTGGAAATTGGACGAGTTCCAAATATTTACGAACAGGCTACAATCTATTAAGTAAAAGAATAAAACAAAAGAAAACACGATGACGCAGGGGAGTGTAACTAGTGAAATTTTTGAATCGTGTCCAGAAAACCAGAAGAAACAGAAATGGATGATTCGAGTCTTTCTGGGAGGGAATTCTTCATTAAATAAATTCTCTGAATGACGAAGTCTATAAAGAAATATTTTCTTATCTGATAAATTGCTCATTTTAAATTGACCACTGTGGTAGTTTCGGACAGTTAAAGAAGGATGAAGAAGAATTACAAAGAAACCGCAGAGCAGACGTCCGAAAGCGAGGTTCTCGTTCCTTCTTCTTCTTCTTCTTCTTCTTCTTCTTTGTGTATGAGAAACGAGAGCCTTTTGTCTCGAGGACGAAACCTCTTTTTCACTGCCGGCTTTTACGTCACTGTTCGACTTTTACGTTTTTTTTCCTCGGCCAACGAAACGAGATTGTCGAAACGTTGCATTGTCCACCGTCGGATTTACGAAAGATTGCTCGATGAAATTTAACGACACTCGTGAAAGCCAGCTAATTTTCAGGCACAAAGTGTTCTCGCTTCTCGTTCCCAACCGACTTTTATTTGCTACTTTCGCGCAGTTTGTCTCGCAACGACTTCTCTATTACACAATTCACGATTTTTCGCACATTTTTCCTTTTCTTTTCCTGTCCTTCGAGAATAGAATTGAAATATCAGTACGAGAAATATTAAACATTCCAGTAACACTTGAATTTTGAATGATTCAAGTGCTTCGAACTTCAGTGAAATTTTGTTCAATTTCGAGAATAAATTCTGTACGATGCTTCGAATATTGCTTCATAATCGCCATAAAAAAAAAAAAAATCTTCGATGAAACGCAAATCGATTTGTTACAGCAGATTTTAATTATATTTCGAAACCAATTGGGACGAGTATTGATCTTACGTTTCCTCGCGTCCACGTGTGCGAAAATAATTTAAAGTGTTCAACTGAATGTATGAAATAATTTGCCGAGGGAATTCAATTATCGCAAAAATAGGAGAGGGATGATTTTATCAACATGAGAAACGTTGAACAAATAAAAATCAAAGTGAGCTCTAGATAGATACACGTAGGCGAGCGAAAGCGAGATCGTTTGCATATCAAATTTGCATTTGCATTTTATGCCGGTTAATGAGGCGTCCTACGATGCCTCTAGTCAATTTTAATTAATTTTCAGGCAATTAACATCCACTCTTGCTATTTATTCTCATCTACTACTATTTATTACGAACTCCAATCTTCTTCTTCTTCTTTTTTTTTTTTTTTTTTAATAAAAAAAAGTTATCATATTTTTGAATTGACTCACCAATGGCAGAATACTGAAAGACTTGACGGTATGGTATAAAAATTTCGGGTGCTTACCTAAAACAGAAAAAGTCAAATACTACTTAGCACAATTTGTTAAATAAGAATCGACAGTGTTACGAGCGAAAAAAATTTGTTCACTGTTCCGCGCAAACGTTCAGAATTATAGAAAATATCCAAAGTAAGCCACATGGTCGCGATGATTAATTATTTAGAAGTGTCATTATCAGACTGCTGACTTTTATGCATTTTCGTGCAAGTGAAAGGTGTGTGAATGCTTTCTGCAATGTCTGAAACATGAAACAATTTTCCCGGAGATTCTGCTTTTCAACTTAGTCTAGAAAAAACTAAGTCCAGAAAATTAATTTAAAACGAATCAACAAGGAGTGTAGAGTCTAAAGAAAATTTGCACAAAAAATTGCAAAAGAGAACTCGTAAGATCGAGTCCGCGTCTTCGCGGGTCGTGTATTTGTAACGAATTAAACGATCAAACTAGACGACGTGTTACGATCCGTGTTCTTTGAAGCGTCTGTTCACACCGAACGCGTGCAATTTAGTAGCGCAATATCCCCTAATGCATCGCGGAAAGATCAACAATCGGTGGATCATGGTGACTGGACACACGAACACCATTTGTGTTACGCGTTTGATCGTAGGTCTCTCTGCAAATAAACGAACGAACGAACGCCAGTTACTTTGCCGCTGTGTGAACACGGCTTTACAATTCACGCGATTCTGCATTCCACTCGTCAATATTGGCTACATTGTGACGATCGGTGGATATATTTGACGGATACTGTCTAACAACGTTGTGTCCTGTCCGTTTCAATTAGAAAAAAGAAAGAAAAATTATTGCTCGCATAAATTTCCTCGTTGGTTCCCCTCTAGAATTAGTATTATACAGAATTCAATTAGACTAGGAACTATTTTTTAGAATTTTTGGCATATCAAGTCAGACGGAATTTCTATCGGAAATCAGAGTCAGTCGAAGTCATAGAGAATTAAGTTTCGAGCTTTCCAGTTTGAAATTCGAAACAATTGATTTCCTAGAGAAAATCTAGGAGGAAATCTTCTTTTGGCTCAATATTCGTAGAGGTAAATTGAAAGGAACTTGTTAATTTCGCGAATTACGCGAGGATATGGCTGTTTAGGTGTGCGTTGGCCTCAACCTTGAAGCAGAAGGAATGCACAGAGAGACACGCAGCTTAGCGTAACGTTTCTCCACGGCCAACGTCTCTCCGCTTGGTCGTTGCACTTCTCTCCCTCTTTCTCTTCTCCTAATGGCTCCGTGCTACCTTTTTACCATTCCACCGCTGTTCTCTTCTATTTTAAAACCCACGTTTCCTTCCTATTCCTCGTCATTCCCCCGTGCTTCGAAACTTTCATCCACTGGTCGCTCGAGAGAGAATTTTCCAACGTGAAATTTCATCTCGAAAGAAACTTTTGAACCACATCGCGCCCTCGTGACACAAGACAAACGTTGAAACTTTTAATACACTACACCCGACAAGACGATTTTCAGAATCCTCTTAATAGTAACTGAGAAGTGAGAAGTAATAGTAACTGTACTATTGCGTAATAGTACTAATAGGAATTTCTACAGACAAATTTGACCAAGGTCTAGAAACTGTGAGACTAGAATTAAGTAGTAACTAATAGCGACTATACTATTGCGCAAAAGTACTAATAGGAATTTCTGGAGACAAATTTGACAAAGTCCAGAAACTGTGAGACTAGAATTAAGTAGTAACTATTGAGAAGTGAGAACTAATAGTGACTATACTATTGCATAAAAGTACTAATAGGAATTTCTGAAGACAAATTTGACCAAAGTCCAGAAACTGTGAGACTAGAATTAAGTAGTAACTAATAGTGACTATACTATTGCGTAAAAGTACTAATAGGAATTTCTGGAGACAAATTTGACCAAGATCTAAAAACTGCGAGACTAGAATTAAGTAGTAATTAATAATGACTATACTATTGCTAAGTACTAATAGGAATTTCTGGAGACAAGTTTCACCAAGGTTTAGAAACTGTGAGACTAGAATTAAGTAGTAACTAATAGTGACTGTATTATTGCGTAAAAGTATTAATAGAAATTTCTGGAGATAAATTTGACCAAGGCCTAGAAACTGTGAGACTAGAATTAAGTAGTAACTATTCAGAAGTGATAACTAATAGTGACTATACTATTGCATAAAAGTACTAATAGGAATTTCTGGAGACAAATTTGACCAAGAAACTCTAGAAACTGTGAGACTAGAATTAAGTAGTAACTAATACTGACTATACAATAGGAATTTCTGGAGACAAATTTGACCAAGGTCCAGAAACTGTGAGGATAGAATTACGTCGTCACACCTGCCCAAAAGTTGAATGACAATACTGGAATTACTGGAAACAGAGGAAAAGAAACACACAGTGCGTGTGTGAGGATAAGAAAAGGTCCATAACAGAGATCCATTGAGCAGAGAGCGATTCTAGGCGACTGAAGGCATTTCGCTCAGCCCACTAGGAAAAGTGGAAAGAATAATAAAAGGGCGAGAGGAGGCGAGCAATAAAAGAGGAAGGGGGCAAGTGCATATCGCGGAGGCGGGCGTCGGAGGCAAAGATAAAAATAATTCAAATCAAAGGCTCACGGAGGAGTTGCGTGTGTGTGTCAGCTTGCGAGCCGGCCCGTATAACCTTTTAGTGCCGAGAAATTGCCAGCACTGACTCTCTTGGCCTCGAAGGCAAAAGCCTTCGATGCAACATCGTGTCGTTTTCTTTTCTTTCTCTTTCCTTACCTACGCCTTGCTCACGCGATAGCCAATTCCATCTCTGAGCAATTGCTCTCCCAAGAAGATGGAACTCTCGACCTTTAACTCACTCTTCGCTGGCGTACGTGATGGCAATTAATACCTTTTCGTTCGGGCGAAAAAGATTTTCGATGCAAAAAAAGATGTCACACTGGACGAAGGAAAGTCTCAATAATCTTTCAATGTATCATATAGTATCATCGAATTCTTGAATTTTCGAATTTAGCCGAATTTTATTAATTTAATCCCCGGTGCGAAGGATATAAAACACAGAACGATATCAAGTATATTAACCTCTTCGTGCCACGCACGTCGAGAATTTTTTGTCCCAAAATTGTAATATTTTCTCAGTTTCAAGTATATTTAAGTACAACCCAGGAACAAAACAAATAATTATTACTCCTCAATAATTTCTATCCAGCGATATTATACCGACGAGGTCAAAAAGGAAGCGACGAATTATTGTACACGAATCGGTCACTCGTTACGGTCCGCAATCAGGGTTAAACAGAACTCTAAGGCACGACATTTATCTTCCGCCGAGGGGAGAAAAGAGAAAAAAAAAAAAAAAAAAAAAAAAAAAAAAAGAAAAATGAGACAAGAACAGCCGCATTCAACTGACCCTTAATGGAAAGCAAAGCCCGACCTTTTCGGAAGAAAAGCTTTTTTTTTTTTTTTGAAACTTCGCGCTTCAGGCGAGCGTCCATTAATCGCAAAATTGAATCTCACCCGCCGCGAAACTTCGCCCCGGCCCATTATTCCCACGGCGAGGGAATCGCGATGTAAAACGGGCAACATACAAAATCGAGCCGAGGGTGAAACATTAACATTCGCGAAATCTGATTTCTTCCTACGTGGAAAATTCCCGAACGAGTAGAGAACTCTGTGCCGGTGCACGAACACGTCACTTCCCTTTTCGTTTGAATTCGTCATTATTGGATAATTCCAATTCTTAATCAGAAAACGCAACTATTATCCACAAAATCACCTCCTTCTTTCATTTTCATTCCGTTCCATTCTCTTTCAAAATGATTAACGCGCAAAGGAAATATGCAACCTAACCTGAATTTGAAACGAATGTTACTGACAACTTCAAATCAGACGAATGATCAATTTCTTACCGTACAAGTGTTATTACGTCCGAGCTTTGCAATCTTCACTACCACATTAACTGTATTCAGCAATAGCAACACTATTGTTCACTTATTTATCAAACGTTCACACATTTGTTAAACAAACGAAAATTGCGTTCACTCCCGCGACTGGCAGGCTGGCGCCATTTTGAAATGACGTGGAGAACCGCGGTTGGCGGTATTCGGTTAATAAATTTAAAATGACGTACAACTGCATTACCGACACTCAGCCAAAGGATTCGAAACGACGTGGGTCTACGTTATCGATCGCGAACGTGTTAATTCAAATTGCGCAACAACGAACGATGTAACAACGATAATAAATTCCAACAACACGCTCGAAATTAGCAGAGTGACTCGTCCGACTAAATAAAGGTTCGTTTTCACGGGGAAATGTCGGCGAGTAGAAAATCGAAGAAACACAGACGAAAAAGAGAAAAGAAAGAAAAAAAAAAAAAAAAAGAATGAGGCGGTAATGGAACGACAGTGTTCCGTCGGTTTATAGAAAGTAAACGGTCGCATTTCGCGCAAGATGGCGAGAGAAACGCGGCTCTAAGGGCTTTCGCCTGTTCCTCGCCTGTCACATTATCCTGCCGGTTGAAAATCCCTTTGTACGTCTTTTCTCGCGCGCCATGCGTGTCTCGCTCGAGGGCTTCGCCTCCAAGTCCTTCCCTTAACCGGGAATCTCACACTAGCGAATTGTTGCATCAATTTCCCTTTACGTGTTTATCACGCACGGTTGCTGTAATATCACGCTGCGCTTGATAATCGAAACGGCTGGAGATGAAGGAAATCCAACAGCGTGCACGTACGCGCGTCTAACGACATATTTTCACGTTAATTTTTGGCGGTAATTTTTAAACCGAAGTGGCAGTCGGTCAGTAAGAAACCTGCGACGTGTCATTTGTCTTCTAAACTAGCCAAACTTACACGTGTGTAATTTAGATAGCAAATGATTCAGAATTTGATATAGAATCAAACTGTTACAGCCTCCGATGTCCAACGACACCGATACCAATTCAATACTGGGTTAAACTCCAGCTTCCATTTGTATTTTAATTCCATCGACTCTTTTCCATTTTTCAAATCTTCGCTCGGAACGTCTTTCCCAAGGAAGACGAGT